TATGTTTTCCACCTTTCTATAGAAGATACAAGGCACCTTGCAATCAGGATAGTTTGTTTATGAATTGCATAGTCATAGGCTGAAATCCAGATTAGCAAGCTGCAACTGGAGTAGGTCCACCTAGTCAATGGAATTGGTAGTGGAGCTGATTTATCACATCCCCACAGATTCAATTGGCTTACTCCAGTTGTGACTTACTACTGGATTCCAGCCATAATGAAAGTGATTTCTAAATGAAGATTTTTGTCCGAACTGTCTTTAAAATGTTTTGGCCTCTGGATAACCTAATCCATTAATTTACAGCAACCATTTATATTAAATCACGAAAAAGCTTTAATACTGCCTGCCACAGTTCCATTTCATCAAGATGTGTGAAATGCAGTGTAGTCAGTAATCTCAGAATGCTTTAATTTGAGAAAGTTTTCGAAATAAAAAGTGTACTTTAGGAAAGGGGCATTTCCCCTGTTTTCCTTTCAAAGGTTAATAGAAAGTTTGTTATACATGAATTTATTATGCATCATGCAATATGTAGCAAACATTTATCTAGTGTGGTGAAACATTGTTCAGATAATTATTTCTCTGCTGTTACAGAAATAATAGCACCATTAATTTTTGTAGTGCAACCCTTTTAAAATCATATTGCTGGATTATGCAGAGAAATGTGTGAAAGGCTGTACTTGACTTTCTGTGGCTTTCCAGTTGTTGGGTTGAAAGTTGTCCTGCTTGATTTATATCCTTAAAAGGATGTAACAACTTGATGGAGGAGAAACAAAGGAAACGCTTCTTTCATGTTTCAGCATTTATCAGATACACATTTCTGTTACATGTAGAGCTCTCAAGCCTGGGGTAAGAAAATTAGAATCTCTTGGTGGTGTATAGGAAATGTTTATAAATCGCTTTTGGTCTATTGGGATTGATGATTACACAATTATTATTATATATAATTAAATGAAATAAACATATTTCCAGCCCCTAGCCCGCATTCTTCGTAAAAAAGAAAGACTGCAAAAATGAATCATGCAATCCTATGCATGTTTATTCAGGAGTAATTCCCATTCTGCAGTAACTGTGTGTAGGGCTGCAGCTTTAAATTTTGTTCACCTTATTTTCCACCATTTTCAACTCAGCCCATATATGTGAATAAAATCTTTCACTTCATGCACATTATTACTTCTAGATTACTAGATTGACTTCCCCAACTTTTAAATCAAATTGTAAATTCATTAATTTTTATAAAATTTGTCCTACAAATGGGGTCCAGGACAATGAATAAAGATAAAATAATACATCAACAATCCAATATAAGACAACAAAACATCAGTCTGTAAAACTGATCAGGATAGAGCAGCAATTTATCGGCTATCTCAAGAAGCAAACAAAAAATATAGTTCAGCTGTGAACAAATTAAAACACATTAAAATGTTTGGTGATTTTTTAAATGATGCCTAAAATGGTACAGTCTTCATGCTGATCTGTCCCTTAGCCGGGCATTCGAGGGTCGGGGCATCACCACTGAAAAATCTGCTTAATGTAGTAAGTGCCTCTTAGTTAAGAGGAAAGCCACACCTGGTTATCAGAGAGCCCTTTCTGATCATTTTAGTGCATGGGCAAGTGGCCTTGGAAGGATTGCATAATTCAATATGCACTCCTGCTTTAAGTTGTATTTTGAAAACAGCTGAATGAAAAGATGAAAATACTTCAGGTTACAGTATTTGTTTCAGAGAAAGAAAAAAAAGTTGTATTTCCAGAATAACATTTTCCCACATTCACATATTTATTCAGAATTAAGTTTAATTTCATTTTCCTTGTAGCTTCTGAAAACAGTTTGGGACACAATCTTTTAGTAACATCTCCTGAGCAGTTTTGTTACGAATGCTTGGGAACTGTTCCTTAATAACCAAATTAACTCAGAAATAAATCATTTGGGGCCTGAAACCTGTATCTCTTGTTCCTGCAGGCTTTGCCAGCCTAATGTCCTCCAGAACAGTGATCCCCAACCCTGGGCCTCCAGATGCCAGAAATAAATCATTTGGGGCCGGAAACCTGTATCTCTTGTTCCCGTAGGCTTTGCCAGCTTCTCCAGAACAGTGATCCCCAAGCCTGGGCCTCCAGATGTTCTTGGACTTCAAGTCCCAGAAATCCTGGCCAGCAGAGGTGGTGGTGAAGGCTTCTGGGAGTTTTAGCTCAAGAACATCTGGGGACCCTAGGTTGGGGACCAATGCTCCAGAATACTTTCCCCATTATCATGACATTGGGGTTGATGGGAGTTGTAGGCTAAAACATTTGGAGGGCATTAGGTTTGGGGAGGGTGTTTGAGTCAACCCCTAGCAAGGCAGGCATTGAGGGTCCTAGGGCTGTATCCCAGGAGGACCCTCTGTTGCCTCTTGGTAGTCACCTGGTCCTGTGGCTGCTCCTTGCTGCCTGTTCAACTACCCTTTCTGAGTAGTGTGAGGAGGAATTGGAAGAATCAGTTGTCCCCCCCCTCCTTACCTTCTTCTTTTGGCTAATGTTGTGCATCAGGCCCGGAAGACACCACTAACCAGATTGAGAAAGCGTACTGCTTTCTCAATCTGAAATACCATACAGGCGCAAGGAAACCGTAAACTTGTTTCAGTCGTTGATGATATGTAGTACCACTTTGCAGTGTACAGTTTGTTGTGTTTGTGCTCTTGTTTTAAAAGACTGATCTGTGGTCACAATAAAGTCAATCTAACTTAGACTGAGAAGGGATGGTGAATGGGTAGACAGTAGTGACGAGGAGGTGGTGGGTCCCCCTCCAGGAAAGAGCCCCACTGAGCGAGTGTCTTGCCCAAGGATGCTGGAACCTTCACTGGTTCTTATTGCACTGCCATACACATCAAAGAAACATGAAGCTCGCCATAGACAAGCTGTTAAGGTGTGTGGTGGTCGGTGATCACTTCTAGAACTACTTGTGGGCAGATCTGCACATGCATTGGTTTTGTTCTGATGGAATCTTATCTACCACATTTATAGCCCATCCTGTATCCCAGGATATCGGGATATAAAATTACTTTAAAAGACTTTTAAAACAATTTAAAATTAACAGTTTTAAAACACAAAATTAAATTGTTCAAATATTATTAAAACCATTGCACTAAAACCTGTGCATGCCATGATCTTCAACTCCTAAAGGTGCTAATGAATAAGTATATCTTGACTTTGGTGCTGAAATGATATGGAAGTTAATGCACATATCAGTCCCAAATACTGATGCTTTCCCAGATGTAGCTGCTTATTATCAAACTAGATTGCAAGGGCAATGTGTTTCTGCAGCAGCTAAGCTGTTTTCCCTCTGATTATGGCACTTCCTTAGAGATATGCTTCTTGGCAGTGAGATGTATGCATTAAGCATGTGAGCAAACTCAGTGCCACCAGACTACATTTCTAATCAACCCCAAGTAAAGCATTTTAAATGCAAAATACAGAAGACAGACACCTGTTCCAAAAACATGGTGTGTACCATACTATATATAGTTTGATCTCAGTGAGTTCCCATACAAACAGCAATTATTATAAGAAAGTATAGTGGAGCACATTTGGCTGAAGGCATGAATGGAAGTGCTGGGAATAGAACTCATGTCTATGTCAGCTATGTTAAGTACTGTCAATACTAGTGCAAAAATGAAATGGTACACATTACTTTTATTTATCACCTCAATCCTATTTTTTGTGTATGGAGCTCAGTACAAATGTACATAGGTTTCGGAGTCTACCCTTCAGACACTGGGCTAGATTCAAACTTGGCTAACCTATGACTATTTGTTACAGTGGTGCTTTGCTTTACGATTGCCCCACATTGTGACGAAACCGCATTATGACGATCACAAAACGATGGTCTGAATAGGGTTTTTCACGTTGTGATGATCGGTTCCCTGCTTCGGGAACTGATTCTTCGCAACGCAGCAAAACGATTTTCCTACAGCTAATTGGCGGCTTCAAAATGGCCGCCGGGTAAATAAAATGGCTCCCCGCTGTTTTCTGGGACGGATTCCTTGCAAGACAGCCACCAAAAATGGCCGCCCTATGGAGAATCTTCACTGGACGGTGAGTTTCCAGCCCATTGGAACTCATTGAAGGGGTTTCAATGCGTTTCAATGGGCTTTTTATTTTCGCATTACATTTTCGTTCTACAGCGATTTCGCTGGAATGAATTAACGTAATGCGAGGTACCACTGTACTTATATCCATATTTATATCCTAACCTTGCTGCCTGGCTATAAGTATTCAGAGTCACTGAGTACTCTTCCAGACTGAGTATTTGTACCCCTTCAAGTTCCTCATTAAGCACTTAACTTAATGAAATTTCCCACTGTATCCCCTACATTATTTCCTGTATACTGTTTTTAAAAATGGATTTACACGCTCTTCCCCCAAATTCTTGGTTTATTGTTTGCACTGCTTTATACCAGGGGAGGAGTTTAATGCAGGGCCACTTTATAACATTTGCACCGATACATCAGGCTACCAAACACATACAATTGCTCAACCATCCAATCATACTCTCCCTCCCGTCTTGGCTGAAAGGCAGCTGGAACCTACAGACAGTCCAAACCATGGGTTGCTCAGCTGACCCTAATCAAAATTTAAAGGACCAAAAGTTGTCCATCAGGGCTGTAGATTGGCTTTCAGTTTTGAATTTATGCTTAAGCCCATTACTCCTTGGCTCTCACCGACTTGTCACTTATCTGCTGATCTTCTGTTAGGCTGCGCTGAGATCAAGCTCTGGCTGTTTTTACCATACTCAGGTTAAAAATAAAGCTTTCTGCCACTTGCTGCCCATTTATAGTCAAAAAGCATTTTGTCTCATTTAAGCCTCTCCGTTTGTTTGCCTCTTCCGTTGCTTCCAAAGTATACCACATGAATAATCAATGAAGGATAAACAGTTCTTGGCTGATGGATGGAAGGATGGATGGATGGATTGCAAAATATCCTGAGCTGTTTTAAAAATGAGAACTTCATGAGAACAATGTCTTTGATAGGTTCCAACAGCTAGTGTGACCATTGAAGGAGCGTCTGCTCTCAACCGTGTCCGTTGGGGCCAAGCAGGGAAAGAAGTAGCAGTTGGGGATTCCGAAGGAAGGATCTGGGTCTATGACGTCGGAGAGGTATGTAGGGTTCTTTCAGATACTCCATGCTGTTCGTTTTCTGTTTCATGTTCTAGTGCCAGAAGTTCAATAAATAAATCAATTAAATATCTATAAATACCATGGATTTTACCCTGGGAATTGAATCATTTATTGATTGTATTCACTAAGGCTTTCATGGCCAGGATCTAATAGTTGTTGTGGGTTTTTCGGGCTCTTTGGCCGTGTTCTGAAGGTTAGGAAGAACAACTTCCTAAATATTTATTATTTATTTTTATTTTGTTTTATTTCTAGGCCGCCTTTCTCCCAATAAGGGGACCCAAGGCAGTTCACAGTATTAAAAGGCATAGAATTAAAAACACAATTTGTTAAACTAATTAGAAAGCCTCGTAGAACAGTGATTAAACTGCTTCACTGCAGCCAAAACTCTGCTTATGACCCAGGGTTCAATCCCAGATAGCTTGATCAAGGTTCACTCAGCCTTCTATCCTTCTGAGGTCGGTAAAGTGAGTACCCAGCTTGCTGGGGGGGGGGCAATGAATAACCTGCATAATTAACTTGTAAACCACCTAGATAGTGTTTTAAGTGTCGGGGCGGCGGGCGGTACATAAGCAGCACGCTTTTGGACACTTTTAAACATTTAAAAACAATATGCTAATTGAAATACACTTGAATAATTGAAAGCTGTTCAATTCAATCTTTATTGTACGGTCACAAACCCGATTAAAAACAGTTCAAAAATAATTAAAACAGTTTAAAATTGGATGGACATAGCTGAAAAGATAATAAGATTTATCAGATAGAGGCAAGCATTGTCTTATCTGTTCTTTGTGCAGAAACAAGGAACTTGGCCACTAGTTCTGTATTAGACTTATTTGTATTAGCTAAAAGATATTTTAGATACCAATCCAGGGTCTTAACTAGGAGATCTCTCCTTACAGGGTTGAGACGTCTGGTATGGAATAATTAAAAGCAAGGAAGCATTTATTAATTTAGTGGTGTAATCGGTTGATTCAAGGTGCAGCTCTGCCCTTTTTATATCAGAGGGATTTTTACTGTTGACTTTCCTGAGATGCATAGTGTAGCTACACATTTGAGCTATGGATGCTGAGCTAAGTTTCAAGAGAGGCCCCCTAAGGATGTTCATTAACGTTGAATTGTTTGCAAAAAGGTCTTTAGATATGCCAGTTCAAGAAATGTGGAAAATGTTAGCATTTTCATTTATTCATATTTCTAATAGTAAGGAGTAGTTAATAACTCTGGCCGTATCCTGTAGTTTAAAATGCATACCAGAAGGGCAATCTAGTATGCACCCATCTGCTCTTGCAGGCTCCCCATTGTTTAGTTTCAAGATTGACCATATGACAAGTGGCCTGACCAATTAGAGGAGATGCTTATTTGATTGTCCTTTCTCTCCACATTTAGCAATGTAATAGTGCTCTATATATTTAGAATACAATGATTGCAGATTATTTTTGAAGGTCTTGTATTACTTCTCAACCTGATTCAGGGCAGGCAAAGACTGGGCATAGAAGCAAGCATGGTAAGCATGGTGCCCTCACATAACCTGGTAAAATAAGCAGATAGTCTCTTTAGAAGGGTCTGCTATTTGCTTTTCTTTCTCCATTAAACAGTTAAAACAACTTATTTTAAAGGTACTGCGTATTCAACTGCTGAATCAAGGCCTGTTTCTTTCTCTAAATGTTACTAAAATAGCAAGGCAGTGAGAATAGTGAGTAAAAGTTATTATGATTTCTGGGTATAGTTTTCTAGTTGGATTCCAGTTATATTCCTGGGGCTTAAAGAAAAAAAATGCCCCTATTCTGAGCCTCCTTTGGAATCATGGTCTCCTTTGATCATGTCTCCTACTCTACAGAAGACATATTTCTCTTTGAAGGGCTTTCAGGCATCTGCCTGGTCCAAGACTAGTTTACTGATTTAAAAAAAAACTTTAAAAAGGAGAACAGGATGGACCTTGAACTTAGCCATCAAAATAGTTTATCTCATGATGAAAACATCTGTATATGTACAAGGAGTATATTCAGTTGTTTTACAAGTACTGTACATATCTTTTGTTCTTTCTTTTAGTGGTCAGTTTGAGATGGGATTGATCCTGAATTTAAAAGTGCAACCAGTGTTCACGTTATGTTAAGTGAGGGTGTGCAAATTTGTGGGCTTTTTAAAAACTGCATCTTCCAACTAAAACTGCCTAAGGAGTTCTGGGAGTTGTAGTCCAAAACCACAATTCTGCACACCTCCAGTTTCATATACTGTGTGATGTGAATGCTTTTGTATTATACTTTTCTAAAGTTGGCTGTTGTTCTAGTATGAGACTCTCTGGATTGTGTCCACATTTAGCTGAGCTGTATGCAGATGAAGCTTTTGAACTTAAGTAAGTTATGCCTAATGTAAATCTTATTGATTTCAGGTAGGACTAATTGGATCCAACTCACGCACCACAATGAACTGTATAGTAGCTTGTTGGGGCATATAAACGTTTGCATCAATATCTACACTGTGGGTAGTTATTGAAACACACATGCTTTCGATCAGTATGATAGCGTCTTACAATGTACATGATTGTAATAGCCCATACCACGAACCTCTAGTGTAGGTCAGCATTATTACTCTCAGCTTGCAAATGGATGCTGAGACTGAGAGAGAATGTCTCGCTTAAGGCCTCCCTACAGAGTTCATAGCGGTGGCAAGATTTGTACTCAGGACTTCCTGGTTTATAGCTCAGTATCTTGGCACCTCTATTACACTGGCGCTCATGGGCAGCTTTCATTTTGTAACCTTTCCTGTAGGTAAAGAATGAATCTGTCCATGATATAGTTGCCTAAATGAGTACATTGAGTACTGGGGTAAGAAAATCTGAAACCGTTGAATGGCAGAAACCTGTAGGGTGAAGAGTAGATGTAATGGAAATTAGCAGGCTGAATGCCTTGTGTTGCGAGGCTATTCTGAATTCCCCCCTACTTCATACTAAAATCTGACTAAATTGAAGTCAGTATGGTGTGAGCTTGATGGAATGTGCCTCTTTGTGGCTGAATGCACAAAGCATAAAAGGTAGCGTCTGCATTACAATTCTTGGAACAGTTAAGGGTGACTGGTGGAGCAATCAGCTTTTATAGACAGAATTTGTTTTTTGTCATTATATGTGATAGGATACTGGGATCTCCATCTCGCCACAGTAGGAAAACATTATAGAACATATACAGATTTAGCTTTAACTCACACAAAGTGATTTTATGGCCCATAGCAAAATTGCTTGAGCATGACGCATATTTTTTGGCTGGCGTGTGCTTTTGCGGGAGTCGCTTTTGCTTGCAAATGACTGCAGAAACATCTTGCTGTATCGTTATCATAATTGCTAAACTGTCTAAAATCATTACACTCAAATTCCTGCCATAGCGCTGGCAGGACACTTGTTTTATTTATTTATTATTTGAGCATTTTGTGTGCATATATGTGTTCTGAGGGATGAAAAAATCTCTTCCTGAGTGACAGTATCACTAGAAATACCTGAATTGACAATATAGTCTGCACTTGCCTATTGTCTGACAATATAGTCTGCACTTGCCTATTGACAGACTATAGAGACATCTCTTGGACATACAACACTTTTTGAGGCCCTTGGAGTATTTTTTTTAATCCTCTCCAAATTAGCCATAAAAATAGATTTTCATTTCTTGGCTTTTAATTTCATGCCCCTCCCAATACACACATCAGAAGCAGAAGTGTTAGTCTTATCAAAAGAAAATGCAGAGGGGATATTTTAGTCCAGAATGAAAAATGGATTTCAGGTGATATAGAGCCATTGATATAAGTGCATTACATTTCATGTCTTTGTTGAGTTAGCTCATTTGAAGACTGGATTGTTACATGAGGCGTGGCCAGCTCTAGCTACCTAGCCATGCCCAAGGAATGTCATGCCAGCCCCTAATCCGTCATGCCCAATCTTTTGGTCACATTTTTCCTCAGACCAGGACTGGCTTACACCATTAGGCAGAGTGAGGTGGTTACTTCGTGTTGAAGAAGGGCAGCAAATAATTGCTGAATTTGTGGTTCTTTAGGGGTTTTTTTCATGTGTGCATGTGTTTTCTTTTGTTTTTTGCTTTGTGTGCCAAAATAATTCGACTCATGACATGCTAGAGACCATGAATTAAATGGGTGGAGGCCATTTATCCCCCTTTATCTCAAGAAGCAATATACAGTATCTCGGACTTAGCTATACCACATGTCCTTAACTATGGAGTGGTTGCATGTTATAAGGTATCTGCAAACTTATCTGGAGGCAGAGACAGCATTGTGATTATCCGGAGTGAAGTAACTGCCTCAGGCAGAAGATTCATGAAAGGGCAGGAAAAAAGTGAATTATTTCATTCATCATGATTGGAACACTAGACACTTGGGACGCTAGACACTGTTCCAAGACCTTTATTCAGAGCACATTACCATAGTCTCTCAAGACTGAAGGATGCCTGCATGATTGTATTTTACGGTCTTTTCCTTTCCCCATAGCTGAGTAGGTCAATGGTTTAGATCACTGGTTCTTAACCTTGAGTTACTCAGGAGTTTTGGACTGCAACTCCCAGAAGCCTTCACCACCAGCTGTGCTGACTGGGGTTTCTGGGAGTTGCAGTTCGAAAGCATCCAAGTAACAAAGGTTAAGAACCACTGGTTTAGATAACTATCCGAGGAGCCAGATGTTGGGAGTTTGATTCCCCACTTTGCGTCCTGTGAGAAGAGCCAGTCTGTGTGGCTTTGGGCATGCTGACAAGAGATACAAGAGTGCCCCAGAAGAAGGGAATGGCAAAACAACTTCTGAGTATTTTGTACCTGGAAAACCTGAAAAGAGTAATCATAAGTCAGAATTGACTTGACGGCACATTATTATTATTATTTTATTGTTCCTTTTCCCACACTCCATTCTGTAAGTGCGTACAGCTGCCTTTCCCAGCCAGATGCCAACCAGTTTGTTTGAAACAAACCCCATCGCCTGTAGCCCCCATGTCCAT